CATGCACCCAGATTAACCAATAAGCCAGAGAACCGCCACAACAGCTTGGACGGTGACTCTAACAGCAACGAAAGATTTTCTCTTCCCTGTTCCTGCATGCAAAGATGGAATTGTACATACGTACTCGGTATTAATAATATCAAGCCAAAACCTAATCAACATAGTACTAATTAGTTAATTAAATTGATCATCATTTTAATCATAATACTTACCACCACTTTTGGTTGGCTTTCCTTCCCCGTAGAAGAGGTCAGGCCCGTATCTCACCTGACAGCTTGGCGAAAAAATCATACCCCATGTTCTTCCCTCACAAGTCTCCAGATACCCACCGACACCCGCCCTCAAACACCTTTGGCAGTCAGTCCCATTTATGTCCGGAGTACATTGCATCAAACAATATATCGACGTCCCTCCGTTGCCTTTCTTGTCATCCCCGGTTGCAAAATAAATTGGAGTCGTATTCCCAACAGCTTTGTCCACAAGACCATTCATCAAACTCAACAAGCTCTGATTAAACTGGTCTTTGTTTGAAACTTTGTTCACACTGCACCAATACCGCCACGGAAGCTCCTCCTCCGTGGCAGAGATGGATCGGTTCGAATATCTCAACATGCATTCCTCATACCAAACGATGGATTCCCTGTTGTTGGTGCAATTTTGTTTGAGGTTCTTGGCAGCGGAGTTGATGCAGTCGCGGCAGACTCCGGACTTGACATCACCTCGACAAAGATATAGGCCGTACACTTTTTTGTCGTTGTCTCCGGATGTGGAGTTGTAGAAGCTGGTGCCGGAAGATTTAGAGGAGAGTTCGGAGAGGAGTTTGTTGACGTTGTCTTGGAACGGGGCGTTTTGGGCTGTGTTAACTTCTAAAGAGCAGTAGTGGTGGATGTAGTGAATCGAATTGGAACAGATCACAAGTTTGAATAGGCCGATGAACGACAGGGATACAATTATTAGGGTGTGATCATGAAAATTAACTAATGACATCTTAATTTGTTTGATCGAATCCCTAAAAGTTCCTTAACTGGTGGTGCAAAAGAATCATAATTAGAAATAATTAAGGTGGTTTTTCAGTGATGGAGATCAAATGACATCTTTGTTTGCTCGATGGTTGAAGATTGTTGAATTAGTGGTGCAAAAGGAATGCAGATTGCATGTATGAATATTGACTATAAATAATAGGAGGCATACCTGAAAGGCTCTCATAATTTGCGTTGACATATTCAACGTGATTTTCTCTTTTCTATGACTAATTCAGAAAACAAATAATGGTTGGAAGAGGGAACAGACATCCGCTAGTTTCACTGTAAAAGTATTCTATAAATATAAGTTACAAGAATAAACCCACCAACTTGAAGCAAGAATACAAGAAAATGACTTGTGCTACAAAAAGAACAAAAAAAAAAGCTTGGTATATATGTTCCCAAAAAAAACATCAGTCATCACTAGCGAGGATACGGTTCAGTAATATTTGAAGGCTCATTTTGCGTCACATAGACGGAGCTACTTTTCGATTCATCAGAATTTGTCAATCCCGCCAACAATATGTCTGAACCACTGTCTGTTGAGAAAAAATTTAGAATAAACACTTCTAAATTTTATATGTCAAAGAAGAAATTCACTCAAAAATTTGAGACACAACAAAAGACTTTATTAAACTGAAAATATTACAAAGAAAGCTCTCAACTCTCACAAACACTCAACACACTATAAGACTTGTAGTCTTATTTTCTTCTTCACTTCTTGATGTCTTTGTTGCTTGCTTACATTACAACACACATACATACATATTTATAGTGAGGTTTGCCGACTTTAAAGTTGGCTAGAACATCCTAGTGCAATGGTCATGCACTGCTCCAACTCACACACTGCAAACCGACTTAGACTTTAATAATTATACTTCTAGTCATTTCTACAACTTCCCACCGACATGCTTGCTAGAGCTTTCTAGCAAAATCCCATGTATACTTCATCTAGAACATTAAGACTTCATAATGGGTTGGGTTTTAAGTTATGGGCTGGTGTTGTACTTTCAACACTCCCCCTCAACACCAGCTCATTCTTTCCCCCATGTTGAGTTGATGACGAAACCTTTCAAACTTGCCGGTACTCAAACCTTTTGTGAACAAGTCTGCAATTTGATCATCTGTATTGATTTGTCTCATCTCAATCTCTTCTTGCAAGACCTTCTCTCTAATGAAATGATAGTGTACCTCCACATGTTTAGTTCTTGCATGAAAAACTGGATTTTCCGCCAAGCGAATTGCCGATTGGTTATCACAGTACAATGGTACTGGATAATCCACTGGTTGATGTAGATCACTCATCAACTGTACTAGCCATGCATTCTCTTGAGCTGCCATTGCTGCTGCTCTATACTCTGCTTCTGTGGTTGATAAAGACACCATTGGTTGTCTCTTGCTACACCACGAAACTACTCCAGAACCAATTCTGAAAACATACCCAGTGGTCGATCTTCTGGTGTCATGATCTCCTGCAA